GGGGGGGGGGGGGGGGGGGGGGGGGGAGATGACATTAATAAATTTTATTGCTCACACATTAAAACAATAATATTTTGAAAGTACTGGATTAAATAATTACAGTCAATTTTACCTGTAACTTTCTTAAATGTGGCCATGAGAAAATTTAAAATTACATACATGGCTCACATTTTCTAGGTTTTTTAAAATTATTTTTTGTTCTTTTTAGTAACCAAATAAAACTTATATATACTTATCATATACAAAATGTTGTTGTGATATATGTATACATGTGCAATGGATAAACTGACCTAACTGACAAATATATTGCCTCACATACTTAATATTGTTTTGTTGTGAAAACACTTAAAATCTACACTCTTACGAATTTCAAGAACACAATACATTGTTATTGACTATAGTCACCATGTTGTGTAACAGATCTCTTGATGAAATGCATCTTTAAAATAAGGATATAAATGGGCTGGCCAGTTAGTTCAGTTGGTTAGAGCGTGGTGCTGATAACACCAAGGTCCAGGTTGATCCCTGTACCCACCAGCCACCAAAAAAAAATACACACACACACACACACAACGAGCCTGTCCTAATTAAACCCCCAAAACAATTACTTTCTGTGGAAGAAGATTAAATTCTGTATTAAATTCTGTTTGAGTCATCCCAGTATACTAATTAGCAAAGACATTTGCAGAAAAAAGCAATATGCCTCATTAATGAGAAATTACCTGCGTAATATTTTTAGAAGACATAATTGCCTGATTATAGAATATGCGGCCAAAGTGATTTCGATCTGGAAATACATCTGCTTGTTGAGGTAAGTTTGCCCCTCCTGAATCAACTNGGTCCAGGTTGATCCCTGTACCCACCAGCCACCAAAAAAAAATACACACACACACACACACAACGAGCCTGTCCTAATTAAACCCCCAAAACAATTACTTTCTGTGGAAGAAGATTAAATTCTGTTTGAGTCATCCCAGTATACTAATTAGCAAAGACATTTGCAGAAAAAAGCAATATGCCTCATTAATGAGAAATTACCTGCGTAATATTTTTAGAAGACATAATTGCCTGATTATAGAATATGCGGCCAAAGTGATTTCGATCTGGAAATACATCTGCTTGTTGAGGTAAGTTTGCCCCTCCTGAATCAACTGAAGACAAGGAAAATGAGAGAAATAAATCGATCTCTATGAACAAAATATGCTAAGTACAAGAAGACATACCAGTGATAGCATCGTTCTTAATCACATTCACCAAAAACTTGCCCTATCTTTCTAAACTATTCTAGACCCTCTTTCTCCATTCCCCCAATTCAGCCAAAAGGATTCACTGTTTTCCCCAACCCCTTCAGGCTTTCCTGCCTCTGTGCAAAATTCTCCTTGAAATGTTTAAGACATTTTCTCCTTTAAGGACCCACTAAAATCCCAGAAACACCATAAATTTCTAACAGTTGAGCTGAAAAAGGATCTTTCCCTCTTCTAAGCCAATACAAAAACCATCTATAGAATCCACGGGACAAGTTATCACATATTACCGTCAGATACTGTTTTTATTGCAGATTGGAATGGTGGATAAGAATGAGTTCGAAACAGGGCTTATTACTTCTTAGCTGTGTATTACAGGTATGTTTCCTAGCCACTGTATTTCTTGGTTTCCTTACCCATGAAATGAAGATAACAATAGCAGCTATCCCATATAGTTGTTATTAGGATGACATGAAATAATGTATGTAAAGCACTTAGCACCTACCCTGAATGCACACAGTAGATATTTAAAAATTAGCTAGTCCTATGCTTATCATTATTGCCTACAACCATTAAGTCTTTTACCATCACTTAACACATTATATCCTGTCTCTAATTCATTAAGAGTTCACTGAGAAAACATAAAACTCTTTACTGTATCCCCTGCAGTGTCTGGCACAGCACCTACAAGCAGCTGGGCCTCATTTGCTATTTTCTGTACATGTAAAGCAGGTCACATTGTGAGTCAACCAGGTAAATGCACTTTCCCAGAAAAAAAAAAAATCTCTCCATCAGTACCTGTTCAGATACCTGCATAAATGAACAATATACATCTGAGTTTTTATCACCAACATTCAGGAAGTACCAATTTTACACTGCTTTGCTCTCAGGTCTTTTTTGAAATATCCTTTGATTTAAACGTATTTTAATTTCAAGTATAAATTTACTTTCATTGGAAATTAACTTTATTTTAAATTACATCTGCTCAAATTATATAATACTCAAGCATCTAATACAGTATTTGGCACTCAAGAGATCAATAAATATTAGCAATTATTTTTTCATAGTTTGAACGCATTATGGTTAATAGAAAAACAAAATATATGGAAGAAAAACTCCACACACATAGAGAAAAAGCTGGCATACACCAAGATATTATCAGGGGTTAATCCTTAGCGATATTATGGGTAGTTCTTGTTTATTTTCCCCCCCAGAGTTTTCAGCAAAGAACATGTGTTTCCTTTGTAATTATGGGAGAAATCAAGTTTTTTAAAATATCCACTGATAATGTTGTATATACACCCTTTTAAACAGTCTTACACTTTACCAACTAATAATAATTTCTCTAGTAACTGTTGTGACTTGCCTAAGTAGATGCAGGGAAGCCTGTTTTCTAGTGCGATCTCTTGTGCTCGTAGATGTTTTTTCACAGTGACCGGGTAGTAGGTGCCTCCTTTGACAGTGGCATCATTGGCAACAATCATGCACTCTACTCTGAAAGGCAGAAATGTCATGGGAAAGAGAGTATGAGAGATTTCTGCAAAATTAAAGACCGATTACAGCTCAGTACAAGACACTCCAATACAACCTTCAACTTCTAGTACATATCACCAATGACACTCATCAGACAATCTTATGATGCAAAAGCAAGCTTTCATCATGGTTCACATCATCATGTACATAAGATAAAAGGATCACTTTTTTTTTTTTTTTTTGTCTTTTTCCGTGTCCGGCAACGGATGCAACCC